AGTCGGCGGCCCCTTCCGAGGCTGTTCCAGAGCCGCAGTGGGCGGCCCCTTCCGAGGCTGTTCCAGAGCCGCAGTGGGCGGCCCCTTCCGAGGCTGTTCCAGAGCCGCAGTGGGCGGCCCCTTCCGAGGCTGTTCCAGAGCCGCAGTCGACGGCTCCCTCTGAGCCTGTTGCAGAGCAACAGAAGCGGAGGCGGCGTCCTCCTCGGCGCATCCTGCGGAGGCGGCGTCCTCCTCCTAGGTTTCTGCTGCATTGGAGACGCCGGCCTCCAGAGCGTCTCTCTCAGCCCCGGCCCCGCGGCCGGCCTCCAGGGCGTCTCTCTCAGCCCCGGCCCCGCGGCCGGCCTCCAGGGCGTCTCTCTCAGCCCCGGCCCCGCGGCCGGCCTCCAGAGACTCTGCCTCGCCTCCGGCCCCGCGGCCGGCCTCCAGAGACTCTGCCTCGCCTCCGGCCCCGCGGCCGCCCTCCAGAGACTCTGCCTCGCCTCCGGCCCCGCGGCCGCCCTCCAGAGACTCTGCCTCGCCTCCGGCCCCGCGGCCGCCCTCCAGAGACTCTGCCTCGCCTCCGGCCCCGCGGCCGGCCTTTCAGAGACTTTCGATTGTCCTCGCCCACTCTGGATGGGTTGCGTTTTGTTTCTTGGACTGTTTTTGGCTTCTTTCCCCCCTTACTGGTTCCCCCTCCGCCCACCCGGGGGTGGTTTGTTTTTTTTTTGCTTTTTGGACATTAAAGGGGCGTCTGGAATCCGCCCTTGAGTGGGGGGCTCTGTAATGATCTTGGTTCTGTTGTTTTTCTTTAAGCTTTCTGTTTCAAGTTTAGCCAGTTTTTTCATTGATTTCTAGCTTTTTTTGGTGTGTCTGGATTCATTTAAGTTGCTTAGGTTTTTCTGTCTGTCCCCTGCTGCCTCCTTGTGTTCTTTTCCCTTGGCTTCCTCGTCAGCTCTAATCACACCTGTTCCCTATCAGCTCATTACCTCTACCTTTGTTCAGTCAGCCATAAATACACTCCCTCTGCAGTCCCTCTTTGCTGGTTCCTCGTCTTTACCTTTCCTCACCCTGGCTCCTTGTTGGTTTTTCCCTGATGTCTCCATGGTTCTGGTTAGTGTTTGTTTTTTATGTTGGATTTTTGGATTCCTGTTTTTGTTAAACATTTTTTAAGTTGGATTTTTGGATTCCTGTTTTTGTTTACCATTTTTTTAAGTTGGATTTTTGGATACCTGTTTTTGTTGCCTTATCTTGCAATAAACCCGCCAAGAATTCACCTCTGCCTCCCAGCTTCTGCGTTTGGGTCCAATCTAAACCTTTTAACCAAATCGTGACAGTTATGTTAATTTGGCTTTTATATACAGTGGTTAAAAAGGCGCGATTGTTGAGAATTTTCTTTCTCCCTTAATAATAAAAGCATTAAAAAACTGTATTTGTGTTTACTTCTATTGTCACTGAATAATATCTTTATCTGATTGTTGTTCTGAAACACATTGGGGGAAAAAAATAAAACTAGGAACCAAATGAAGTAAATACATCTGATTTAATTAAACACTAAATTAATTAAAGGAGTACCTAAGAACTTTTATTATGGTCGATTATAGCTCCCCCCAGTGGTCAAAAGCTGTATTGTTTTACCTGAAGGAAGACCCCATTTCCCATGAGGACCAGATTAGTAAAAACCACAGCAGAGTGAAATCCTGACCTCCCAGTCATCTGGAGTCAGATTGAACTACATTACTGTTTCCAGTGGCTGTGAGAAAAATGAATAGCAACGGGGTAATGTTACATGACGATGTTGAAAATATGGCAGTTTACCTTGGTTTTGTACAGTACTTTTGCACTGACGCCACTGTACCTCTACTACCCCCCACCTAATCCCACTTGTCCGTAACTGATGTGCTGATGGTTTAAAGCCTCGAAACAGATAATTATAATGCTATGTTCCATATTTTACACAATAAACAGACGTAGAGATCCCAACAGTAAGTCCCTCATTGCCTAAATAGAAACCCTGCAAAAATTTAACAGATATATATGCCTCTCAGAGAAATTTAGTCTCATCGCCTTCTGTCTTTATAATGAATGGGAAAAGGTTGAAGAGACATATACCGTAAAGTAGTTTGCACATTAGTAGTAGTTTTGTGTGGCAGGGTTACTGCTGTCCTCCTCTAAGCTGCTTAGTGTTGGTGAAAGTGAAACAGACCCGCTCGGCCGTGACAGACGGGTTGTTCAAATAATTGTAAGTCAACACACACACACACATATATATATACATATATATATATATATATATTAACATAAGTTAAGAAAATATTTCATAAAGGTTGCAAAATTACAAAGTGTTATTTTAAGTGGGCTTGAAAACATGAGAGGGGGGCTTCAGCCACCCCACCTACAATAGGTCTAGACACGCCACTGATTATATTAACAATTTAGTAATGTGAGTTAGAATGAAGGTTGTTTTGGGTTACCTGCATATAGAAGCTGACAGAGATTATTGCTCTGATCTACTTTCGCTTATGCCAAGATCCAACAGTAAAATTAAACGTTTAGGTTCGCCTCAGTCTTCATGTTTCTACAAACTACTTCTTTGAGCAATATTTACAGAAATCCTGTCATATTTTCTATAAAAAAAACAGTAAAATATTAAGTGAACCGTGTGACGTACTTACCGTCGATGTTTTCAGCACTTCTCAGTAAATGAAAGTGAAAGCAGCCGAAGCTCAGCTGTCAGGAAAGTCGCTCCCAGCGTTCAACTGACGCTCCTCCCTTAAGCGCTCAGGTTTTTTCTTCCGGTCATTTCATTTGATGAGCTCAAACCTTAAAGAGATGCAAACCCATTAAACATTTCAGCGATTCCAATTAATCACATGCTGACGTCATTAAGCTGATATTTTTCTTACAGTCTTTGGACATATCGCCGTTTTGTTTTTCTCTCTCTCTCCTTTTTGTCATTGAATCCTGTGGATTATTTATCCTGCACCTCGAGCATACGACTGTTTGCAATTGTTTATTCTGTATTTGTAAAAAAAAAAGGTTATTTAAAAAAAGTCTTTATATATATATATATATATATATATATATATATATATATATATATATATATATATATATATATATATATATATATATATATATATATATATATATATATATATAAATACTTTTTTTTATCCAGGCTTCCACAATTTAATTGCATTCCTTTTATAGATAACAATGTTCTTTGATTAGAACTCATACAGGATTTATGAAAGCAAAGGGTGTGATACTGTTTGACAGCTGGATCCATTACTTTACACTGAGTTTGGTAATGATGGAGCCATTGAACCTCATTCTATCATCATCATCAACAGCTTCATTTAACACAAGCCACAGATAAAAAGGTGCTGAAAATCAAAAAGAATAAAAAACAATAAAATAATCAGAGATAAAGTAAAACTAAGCACACAATAATACATTAATAAACGTACTTCAAACACAATAAAACAATGCAAAACAAAATAGGGGTCTTCATTGACTTTGCTCAGCACTTTGTGTCAGGATACCCATGTCTGTAACAGCACAACCCTAAAGAGTAATATAAAGCATCAAAGTAAACAAAGTGCAGGATGAAAGAAAGAATAAGAATATTAAGAAGAATGAAACATAAACATTAGCAGCTGAGCCTCTGTGGTCTTTCTGACATTGGGGTGTTGTAAAAAATATAATCCAAGATCACCTGATTGTCCAACCCAGTTGTCCTGGACTTCCCGATAGTAAATATAATTTTCTGTTCAAAAGCTTTTTTCAGCAGTTTCAGCTGCTCTTTGCCCTCTTCCTTGTCTGAAAGATGTGCTGTTTAGGTGGTTTTCTGATATGACCGTCAAGGATGTGGACGTTTTTCCTATATCTTGCAGACTGAAATGAAGAACTGAAGCAAAAGTCACCCAAAAATAAAATAAATAAATTTAAATGACTTTTTTGTGACTTTGAGATATCGATTAACAGTAAAGGGTTTTAGTATCTGTTTCCATTGTGGGTGCAAAGAACTTGTCTTTGGGCCCCAGTGAACACGATCCCAAGAATACCCAAAGAATATGTTTAAAGAGGCTTCAGGTTTACAAAGCAATTTCTTTGCCAATCATAAATTTTAGTCCTATAATTTGTAGTAGAGAATCACAGGCTGAAGATCTCTGGTGTTAAGAACTTTGTTTTCGTTTGTTGCTGGATTTGACATTTAGATAAGCAATTATATCAACTTTCTAAAGAGGAGCCATGGATCATCATCTGGCTTTTCTTTGGACCCATACAATAACTTCTTTAAAGTCTTTTTGGTGCCAGAGTCACCAAAGGTTTATTATTGCTTCTCTTGACAAATGAGTGGTTTGCTGAACTTATGTGAGTCTAAAAACCTTAGAGCAATCACTGCCATGTCCGATTCCGCTAAGCCAGTCTCAATTCATGAGTGTTTGATGATCCACATATTGACCATGTGTTTGTAATATTTTCCACTTTACTTAGTATTGTTTAATGTTTGAATCTCATTTTATACTAACCAACCTAGCAAGATAATTTTTTTGTGAATTGTTAACATATAAAAAATACCTCTTCCACTGTTGGTGAACTTTCAGACTTTTATTGATTATGAACATTTCATTATAGGAAGATACAAAATATGTAACCCTGTTGATTTATTAGAATAAAAAAAACATTTTTGATATTTTCATTTAGATGACATATAGAAAAACTTTATTGTATGTCTAATCTACTGACAGAAGTTCTTTAACAGGGCTGCTCCAACACGCATTCTCACATTCTTACATCAACACATTTATAACATCTCTAAAATAATAAAAAAAATACAAAGATAAAGACTACAACAAAACAGCTCAGCAAATTATTTCAAAATTCTGTAATTCATTTAGTTGCATTTAAACATACGAGTGATGTGATTTAGCTTCCAGTAAACTTCAAGTTAACCATTAAGATCTACTACTACGCATCTATTATGCAAAAAACAAAGTGTGTAAATTCAGTTTGTCAGAAGACATTTATTTATCTAAAATGTAATCAGTTAATGTAGAATAAAGATTTCACTCGATGCCTTTAGCTTTCAGCTCCTCCTTGACTCTGCTCAGGTAGGTCTCATCAGGATATCCAAAACTGTCAAAGAACAAAATTGAAACGTGTATTACATGAAACTGAATATTAAAGCAAAGTAAAAGGATCAAACCAGATACCCGTACCACTGTGGTCCTCCTGTCATGGATGTCTTGTGATGGATGTCATTCCAGGTCACTGCGTTCTCCATCCCAGTTGTCCTAGAAGCTCCAACAGTGAAAATCAGCTTCTGGTCAAAGGCTTTTTTCAGCAGGTGCAGAACTTCATTCCCCTCTTTGTTATCTGGAAGATATGCTGTTCTAGTGGTTCCTGCAAAGTACTGTCCAGGCTTTGGATGATTTTCCTGATAGAATGGAAAAAATCTGGTAACTGATAGCCATTTCAAAATATGTCAATTTCCTAATATAGTGTATATGAGGTGGTACTTTACCGTCTGTAATCCACCAGGGATATAGTAGCTGATCTCTATATAGCCACAGCCTGGGAATCCAGGGAGGTCTGCATAGTTATGTTTTTTCCATTTCATTGTTCCCTCAGGTTGGTTTCCCTTCACCACACCAAACACATCTTTGCATATAGGACAGATTGGTCCACTGTGCTGCACTGCCTTTTGCAGGCAGTCTTTGCAGAATGCATGCTTACACCTCAGCTGTTCCTTATTAGTAAATTGGGATAAACATATAAGACATGGGTCTTCTTTTCTCTCCAATAAAATATTTTCAATTGATGCATTCATAAGATACTGTTTCTTAATTGTTAAAGGAGTTCTGGAGTCTGCTTTCTTCTGATAATCACTATGCTTTATTGCTCCAACATTTGAATCTGTTAATGTCATGTTTCTTATCCTGGGTGATGTACCAACTGGTACAGGTTTAAGGTGATCAATGGGATGGTTTATCTTCTGCATTGCATTTAGGACTGCACTGAATTCATCTTGGCCTTTCTTTGGACCACAGACAATAACTTCTTCAGAGGACATAGAGAGCAAAAGCTTATCTTTGTTTTTCTTGATGACTCTCAGTGCATCGCTCCACTGATCTGGATCTACAAACTTGAGGGGAATGACTACGCCTCCTGACTCAGCTAAGCAGCTCTGATAGAGCTCGATGAACTCACAGAGAGCCTCATTTGTTCTTCCAGCTTCAAATGTCACATGGACCTGTGCCGTGATTTTACTTTTATTGTTCCTCTCAATACATTTAATTTCTTCCTTATAGATGTGGCTCATGTACCAAAAGAGATTCACTGGCAGAAGACTACTTTCTTGAGCTGCACCTCCAGCCTTTGTAAGGGGATTATTTAGTTTGACAGGGAGGACCATGTCCTGAAAAGGGAAACAATAAATAGTCAATCAATATTTCAATTCTAATGACTGTATTATCTGACATCAATACAACTGGGAGATCTAACCAAGATTCATTCTTCATTCACATAAAAAAAATAAAGACACTTATGTTTTTAATTTATGCTTTTGTGTTCTCAAGGGACTGACAGTGTACTGTATAATTTTCCCAAACTAATTTACTACTAAAAAGTATTACCTCCACCAAGGAGGATATGTTTTAGTCAAGTTTGTGTGTGTTTGTTTGTTTACCTGTGTGTATAGGATAACTTGGAAAGTTACAGACAGATTTTAATGACATTTTTACGAAAGGTGTACCTCAGTCCAAGGAACAATCCATTTAAGTGTACTTATGATTCACATCATAATCTGTATACAGGATTTTTTTTTTTTTGAAGGATTCTCCAACGTTGTGAGATAAGGTTATTTGGCAAAACAAGCAGTTCCCCACTAAACAAGAAGGTGGCAGCACTGACTATCAACAGCCTAAGTATCATCTGAAAAAGTCCAGATGTATTTTACTGAAGTTAGTTAGTTAGTTTGTTAGCAGTATCAAGCAAAACCTGGGTGCCAAAAACGCTGAAATTCAGTCGCTGGATCTCTTATTTGTTTGACAATGTGAATCATTGTATTTTGACTGAAAGTGTATGGGGGGAAAACTTTTTATTTTACTATATTCAAAGAATAATCAATAACGATTATTCAATAATAAAGATGCTGTGAAAATGTGACATTGTTGGATTATAATTATTTATAAGATTAAGCATATATTACATTTTACCTCCTTGTGCCTTTTCTCATCTTTGCCCTTTAATAAAGTTCTGACATTCTTCTTTCTTCAAAAAACAGAAAACAAGATAAAAAACGATAATACATAGTGAAAATTGCTCAACTCTGCTCTACTACAAGAAACTACGAGCACCTCCATTGGTTCTTCTCCATAGAGGGTCCTGCATCACCAATGCTTTTCATTATCATGCTGGAATTAGGGCACAGGTCAACATTGAAGTCTTTAGAACTAGCCGGCCGTTCAGAATCTTCTGAAGCCCATTTGGAATTCTGTGTTGCATTCAAGGTTGAACTGAGAACATTTTGAGAATACTGCGGCCCACAGACGGTCATTTCCTCAGAGGGTGACATCATAATCTTCTGGTACAGACGCAGCAGAGCTCTGACAGCATGGCTCTCCATGGCTGGGTTTCCTCCAGGTCTCTTGTAGAACGCTTTGACATTAACTTTGCCCCCACTGATGGACTCTTTAAAGTCCACATTGAACTTAGCTTTGATTTTTGCAAGTTCTTTAGCATAGGAAGAGATCAAGCGTTCCCATGAGTTCTCAGCTATGGTTAGTCCTGTATCGGTCAGATTATCTTTGATTGTCATTTTGATTTTCAGGCGGAGCTCTTCGTTGAAGTTTTGAGCTCCAGCTGACCTAGATGTCTCTTCAGGAGAGTTGAATTTCTGTGTTGCATTTAAAGTTGAACTGAGAAAATTTTGACAAAGCTGTGGCCCACAGACAGTAATTTCCTCAGAGGACATAGTGACTAAAAGCTTGCTGTCATTGTTATTAATGACTTTCAGTGCATCACCCCACCGATTAGGATCTACAGACTTCAGAGGAGTAACTGAGGAAGAGGAATCAGACAAACACTTTTGGAGAAGATCTGCAAACCTGTTGAGAGCCTTACTTGGATTCCCACCTTCATGTTCAGTGTGAAATGTCACAGTGACAGTTGGCATTATGCTAACTTTAGTTTCTTTCTCTATGTGTCTGATTTCATCTTTGTAGATCTGGCTCACATACCAGTAATGAGCCGGTGGGACAACACATTCCATAGATTTCTTTCTATGGTTTCTAGGAGCATTTCTTCCCACATCCATTTGTTCTTCAAACTGCATCTGCACCTTAAGAAAAAGTATAGCAGGTTGGATATAATATATATTTTCCTGCAAATATATTGCATTTAGTTTAGATTACATACCACTGTCTGCTCTGACACTGAAGGTTTGGAGCTTTTTAAAGCTGCTGGAGGAGCAGTATTTGCTGAAGCACCATCTGCAGTTTGTGCATCCATCTTCGGTGCTCCAAAACTGACTGAAAGAATGGTGACTTCTGTCCCATCTTTCATTAATGTTTCACCCTGTAGTTTCTGAAGTTCATTGGCAACTAGAAAAATTCAAACACAAAATTAATTGATGTTCCAAAAATCTGAAAATCCATTATTATTTTGTTAACATTTTTAAAGTTGCTATGGGAGCAGATTATCAGAAGGTTTAGAAAATAGCATTCAACCATTTTACCACACCTGGAGGAGGTTTAAGCTGAACCACAACACGCCCATCTGACAGTAGATCTTTAACTGAGCAATCAGTTGTAATCTTTCTTTTGTTGAACCAAGATTGAAGAGATATTTCAAGGAATCTCTTTTTCTTTGCTGGTTTCTCTTTTTCCGCCCAGTCTAATGACAGAGTTAGAAGTACCTGACTCTGGTGCTCTGGAGAAGCCTGAAAAATTAGAATGAAAAAGTTTGACATACCTCAAAGAAAACTAATATGTCATATAAAAATATTTGTATGCCCTCAAATTTTTCAAGATACAACCAAAGAACTGTTATTATTAAGATCCCATGTGACAGACAAATTTTCTTCAACTTCACACGAAATCAAAGCAAATCAATGTATTAAGCTCATCAATAACAATATTAATTTTAAAAAAATATTTCAATGCTCTTCTTGATTCTTGGTATCTTTAACTGTTACCTCTCTTTCATATATTTAGTGCACTTACTTCCCCTGGATCCCTGTCAAAGATTTTTCAACCTACCCCAACCCTTTCTATATCATATCTGCCTTTTTGGACAAAGTCCAGTTAATTTTTATTTATATCACTTAGCAGCAGCAGGCAAAAGAAGCCTGAGTGCAGGAGTTGGTGGGACCAGTCTTTTAATGTATTAATTCCTAGTCCAGCTGTAAGGATAATCCTTAAGATGCACCGTTTAAAGACCATGTAAAGAGAATTTCCCAATTGTCTTCAAAACACGTTATAAATGTCATAAATGCATCGTACTACATGTTTAAAAAGTCTCCCAACCGTTTATGGTTGCACTGTAGTAACAGATTTAAACTTCAATTTCAATATTCCTGTTTCAGGATTTTTGGTTGTGTCTAAAAATGCGGCCTCTTGTCGTCATGAAGCTGTCCATCCCCTGCTTCCCCAGCAGTATAAAGACAAACAGAGAGGCCGCTTCTGCCTTGCTGCCAATTCAGAGTCTATTTTTATTGCCTTTTTAGACCCCTCTAGCAACTTTTTTTTAAACATCTACTGATAAGTCTATGTACTTTTTTCTGTCTTGTTTGAGACTTTGGTGACAACACATGATAGCACTGACCAAGTCTACCGTTTTCATGTAAAGCTAGCAAGCCCCTCCCTCCTCCACAGCGACTTAGGCTCAGCAGCTGCAGCCTTTGTCTGCAGTTACAGAGCAGAGTGACCCTGACACACAGAGTTATTTAGGGCAGAGAAAACTAACATTTTTTTATCATCTTTAAGACCTAATTCCTTATGCCCAGTTGTGTTTTTAATTATTCAAATTCAGACGGGTGATTAATTAAAACACATTTTTTTTGGTGTAACTAACTGAAAACACGCAGCTGCAGTCCTAATAATACGAATAATAGAAAAGTAAACCTGAGATTGAGGTTCTTGAAGGCCAGGTTCTTTAGAGCTGGGCCCTTTTGAGTCAGGTCTTTTGGAGTCTGGTCCGTTGGACTCCGCTCTATTGGAGTCAGGTCCTTTGGAGACAAGTCCACTGGTGTCAGGTATTTGGAGTTTTGTATTAAAGGAGTAAAAATCATCAGGTATCTGGTCAACATCCATTTCCTGAATTTCGTTCAAATAGTCGTCAGACATTGTGACAGTGTTCTTCCTAAGAAAGCTGAATATTAGCACATATGTTACTAGGTTTTAAGGACAAGGGGGTCTCTCCCATAAAACACAAGAAGAATATCTTAAACACCATAACTTAAATTATTAGCAGATAACTGTAAAAGCTAATATTGTAGTTTTTGCTTAAAACACAATAGTTGTTTGTTCTAAACTATTTTTAAGTTGCACAGATTACAATTTGAACACAAACGGAAATAAAACGGTAGTAAGTTCAAGCCCTGAAAAGTATAATTTAATGAATTGACTTAAAGCAATATTTACCCACTTCTGAAAAAAATCACATCATGTTGATTTGGCTTTTATATACAGTGGTTAAAAGATGGGGGATTTGAAAATAATTTTCTTTCTCCCTTAATTATAACAGCATGAAACAACTGTTTTTGTGTTTACTTCTATTGTCACTGGCTAAGATCTTAATCAGATTGTTGTTCTGAAACACATTGGGGAAAAAAAAGAAAATTAGAAACCAAATGAAGAAAATATATCTGATTTAATTAAAAAAACACCAAATTACTTATTAAAGCTACAGTGTGTAATAATTACAGGGATATACAGTCAGAAATGTAATATATTATACATAACTATGTTATTTATCATCATCTACGAGCTCAGCCTTTTAACCTTAATATTTGCGTTGCCTTAGAATTCGTTATTTATAATTACATAGGAGCGGGTCTCGCAGCCATGGAGGCAGACATCTTTGCGCTACGGCAGCGCAGAGCCAACAAACTAGCGATTGCGAGATCGCCAAAACGTCACAACGATGTAGAAAAAATAACGGGTATATTTATCATCTAAAGTCTACATGAAATCTATACCTTACACAGACTAATGAAATACTATCTGTAAAATTATCTATGTAAACAAACCTCATCACTTGAGAAGGTAGGTGATGCGGACGTCGTGGAAGACATTTTGTCCCGTAACGCTCGCCGTACTGTTGGGGGGGAGAAGCTGTGGGGGGGGAGATGTTCATGTTGCTGCAGTCTGCAGTCTGACCGCTAGATGTCGCTAAAAGTTACACACTGTAGCTTTAAAGGAGCACCAAAGAACTTTCATTATGGACGATTTTGTCCCCCCCCCCAGTGGTCAAAAGCTGTATTGTTTTTCCTGAAGGAAGACCCCATTTCCCATGAGGACCAGATTGGTAAAGACCAGAGCAGAGTGAAATCCTGACCTCCCAGTAACCTGGAGTTAGATTGAACTACATTACTGTTTCCAGTGGCTGTGTGAAAAATGAATAGCAACGAGGTAATGTGACATGACGATGTTGAAAATATGGCAGTTTAACTTGGTTTTGTACAGTACTGCTGCACTGCCGCCACTGTACCTCTACTACCCACCTAATCTGACTCATTCGCAACTAATGTGCTGACAGTTTACAGCCTTGAAACAGATAATTATAATGCTATGTTCCATAATTTCACAATAAACAGACATAGAGATCCCAACAGTAAGTCCCTCATTGCCTGAATATCAACCCTGCATAGATTTTACGGATATATATGCCTCTCAGAGAAATGTAGTCTCATCGCCTTCCGTCTTTATAACGAATGAAAAAGGGTTGAAGAGACAAATACCTTAAAGCAGTTTGCACAGTTGTAGTAGTTTTGTGTGGCAGGGTTACTGCTGTCCTCTAAGCTGCTTAGAGTTGGTGAAAGTGAAACAGACCCGATCGGCCATGACAGACGGGTCGATCAAATAATATACATATATATATATATATATATATATATATATATATATATATATATATATATATATATATATATATATATATATATATATATATATATATATATATATATACATATACAGTGTTGGGAAAGTTCTCTTTCTACGTGAACTAGTTCAAAGTTCAGTTCACACATTTTAAAATGAACTAGTTCAGTTCATAGTTCATAATTCAAAATTTTGAACTAAGTTCACAGTTCCAAAAAATTAACTAGTTCATAGTCTACTGTAGAACCACAGACAGCAATTATTTTATCAGTTGTAACTCTGAAACTGTGCGTCAGATTTCATCTTCATATCCAGTTTTGAATCCTTATCCAACCAGGGTTTACATTAGCATTGAGGGGACAGCATTTCCCCATTGTTGCTTTAACGCTTTGTTGCTGTCCATTCACTTCACACTAGTAGCAGCTGCAGCTTTCATCCCTACAGTATATTCTCAAAAACATCATGAAAAATGTGCTGCTTGAATTGTCTTCTTTTATGAGGAATTATTATTAAAAGAAAAACAGGAAAGTAGTCTTTAAGGTGCAAATGTTTTTTTTATTTTAATAATTTTTTTCAATTTGAAATTCCATTTCAGTACATACTAGTGCTGTCAAAATTATCGCGTTATTATCGCGTTAACGCGAGGCCATTTTAACGGCGATAATTTTTTTAACGTGAGATTAACGCTATGTGGTTTTATGGTACAATTTTCCAAGTACATCCCGCTGCAGCCTGCGGGAAGGCGGGGCTATTTTCCCCCAGTCTATGCATTTCTCATAGGCTTCAAGAGCGGAGAGCTCCTCAAGGGAAAAAGACGCTCATACACTGAGTGACGCTAGTGCCTTTTCTTTAAGCCCCACCACCAACAAACAAGTTGAGTGTCTGGTAACTAGTAGCAACCTGAAATACGCTGAGAAAACAGATTACTGAGGTGAAATGGAACCTGCTACGGCACTCTTGCTGTCACAGGTCGGTATCGTGTGTGTGTGTGGGTGGGTGTGTCTGTGTTCTCATTTTTGTTAAGAGTCTGAAAAGTAACTTTCATAGACTACCTCCATCTAGTGATGTCGGTCTATTGATTTTGATGTATTGATTGAAAATTGTTCATTATTATCTTGGTTAATTAACATCTAATGTTAACTGTACTACATTTTATAGCAGTAGGGTAAAATGCTTGTCTTTGTTCAAAAGACTGTATTAACTGTAAAGACTGTCTTTTACATCAGCCTGTTTTCAGGGCCTTTTTTTTGGCTACATATTTGTTATTTTTTGCTACATGCCTCCCCATCTTCTTGCCATATGTTTCTATGGCATAAATCAGTATCTGTGACCTGTTCTCATTTAAAAAAAAGAACATTGGCACAAACCTAGCCTGTATGTATTTTTTGTATGTCATCGAGAGTATTTAAATGATTTTCAATCAGAAAAAAAATTTGCGATTAAAATGCGATTAATCGCGAGTTAACTCAGGCATTGATGCGATTAATCGCGATTAAAAAAATTTAATCGATTGACAGCACTAGTACATACTAAAAAGGAATACTGGAATCCTGGAAAATAAACCAGGCAGGTTTACATGAATAGTAAAACCCTCAACAACATTTTACTAACACAAACTGAGGGACCAGAATGAGGTAGGAATTTAAGGTTACTGAAGTGCGGATTTTTTTACTGAAAGACGGCGGGCAAAGTTTGCAGAGAAATGTAAGATTGTTGCCATCATCCTCACCGACCACCTGGTCATAAAACTGTTTTAAGTGATCATACTGCTGCTTTGTCGCCTCCACGGTCGCCTCCATGCTGCTGTGGCTTCCACGCTGCATTTTGTTTTGATGACGCACGCGGCTGTAGGCTACGACACTGGAAGCTGGTGTTGCCAGATTGGGTGTTTTTCCCGCTACATATTAAGGCCTGTTTACGGTGTGATTTAGCCGGGGTTTCGCCTAGAGGGCTCTACAGAAATCTGGCAACCTATTGAACGGAGTTGAACTGAGAGAGCGTGCCGTTCACAGACACCAGAATGAACGAGTTCACAATAACGTTCCTCAGGCAGTAATGCAGTACGTTCAGTTCACGTTCGCCCAAAATATGAACGAGTTCATGAACTTTCGTTCAATGAACGCGTTCAGGCACAACACTGTATATATATATATATATATATATATATATATATATATATATATATATATATATATATATATATATATATATATATATATATATATATATATCACAAAAGTTAAGAAAAATATTTCATGAAGGTTGCAAAATTACAAAGTGTTATTTTAAGAGGGCTTGAGAACATGAGAGGGGGGCTTCAGTCACCCCACCTACAATAGGTCTAGACACGCCACTGATTATATTAACAATTTAGTAATGTGAGTTAGAATGAAGGTTGTTTTGAGTTACCTGCATATAGAAGCTGACAGAGATTATTGCTCTAATCTACTTTCGCTTATGCCAAGATCTAAAAGTAAAATTAAACGTTAAGGTTCGCCTCAGTCTTCATCTTTCTACAAACTACTTCTTTGAGCAATATTTACAGAAATCCTGTCATATTTTCTATATAAAAACAGTAAAATATTAAGTGAGCCGTGTGACGTTCTTACCGTCGATGTTTTCAGCACTTCTCAGTAAATGAAAGTGAAAGCAGCCGAAGCTCAGCTGTCAGGAAAGTCGCCGCCTGCGTCCATATGATACGACGGAGCGTTTCCAATTACTCACATGCTGACGTCATTAAGCTGATATTTTTCTTACAGTCTTTGGACATATCGTCGTTTTGTTTTTTTCTCTCTCTCCTTTTTGTCATTGGATCTTGCGGATTATTTATCCTGCACCTCGAGCATGCGATTGTTTGCAATTGTATATTCGGTATTTGTAAATAAAGTTTATTTGAAAAAAAAAACTATTTGAACATCGTCGTCTTTTCAGCTAATTTTTGAATGTGTGTCTGCGTATATATATATATATATATATATATATATATATATATATATATATATATATATATATATATATATATATATATATATATATATATATATATATATATATGTGTATGTATATATATATATATATATATATATATATATATATATATATATATATATATATATATATATATATATATATATATATATATATATATATATATATATATATGTATATGTATATAAATCAGGCTTCCACAATTTCATTGCATCCCTTTTCATTGTTATTTTTGTAGTTAACAATGTTGTTTGATTAGAATTTATACAGGAATTCTGAAAGCAAAGGGTGTGATACTGTTTGACAGCTGGATCCATCACTTTACACTGAGTTTGGTAATGATGGAGCCATTGAACCTCATTCTATCATCATCATCAACAGCTTCATTTAACACAGCTAAAAGGGTGCTCAAAAACAATAAAAAAATAAATGGGGATAAAGTAAAACTAAGCACACAATAACACATTAATAAACTTCTTTCAAACACAATAAAACAATGCAAAATAAAACAGGGGTCTTCATTGTCTTTGCTCTGCACTTTGTGTCAGGATACCCGTCTGTAACCGCCCAACCCTAAATAGTAACATGAAGCATCAAAGTAAAAAAAGTGAAGAATGAAAGAAAGAATAAGAAGAATGAAACATAAACATTAGCAGCTCAGAACCTCTGTGGTGTTGTTCCCGACATTGGGGTGTTGTAAAAAAATTTTATTCAAGATCTCCTGGTTGTCCAACCCAGATGTCCTGGACTGCCAAATAGTAAATATAATTTTCTGTTCCAAGCTTTTTTCAGCAGTTTCAGCTGCTCTTTGCCCTCTTCCTTGGCTGAAAGATGTGCTGTTTAGGTGGTTTTCTGATATGACCATTAAGGATGTGGACGTTTTTCTTGTCTTGCAGACTGAAATGAAGAATTGAAGCAAAAGTCACCCAAAAATTAAATAAATAAATTTAAATAACTGTTTTGTGACTTTGAGATATTGATTAACAGTAAGGGTTTTAGCATCTGTTTCCATTGTGGGTGCAAAGAACTTGTCTTTGGGCCCCACTGAACACTGATCCAAATAATACCCAAAGAATATGTTTAAAGAGGCTTCAGGTTGACAAAGCCATTTCTTTGCCAATCATAAATTTTAGTCCTATAATTTGTAGTAGATTCCGTAAAAGTTTAAAAAACAATCCACTGGACTTGGTTTCCAAGATTTGAAGACGTTTCGCTCTCTCTCCAGGAAGCTTTCTCAATTCAAATGTCTGGATCTGCAGTGAGTTTGAGTCTTTATATAGACCAGGGGCGTTGCTAGGCACAAAGCTTTACTGGGGCACTGGCCCCCTAGTGCATATGCCCCTCCTTCCATACATAAATACAGACAAGCACACTGCCCAACCCTGATACATTCCTACCAAAATTACCAGTTGAGATATTAATGAGTATAAGAGCATAATTGTTTTAACAAACATGAACATTTTCAACATTGCAGCTATAAAAAATAAGACATCAACAACTTTGACAAATAAAAAGTTTCCTTATACACATTCTGGAGTAATCATTAATTCCTAGGTTACAGAGTTTTAGTTCGGGGGAAATTTTAACTCATCCTGAGCTAAGTTTTCCTTTTTTTTTTTGAGCATTAAAGTGTACCTCCTATTTATCATTTTTGCAAAGTGGTCAATCACTTGTAACTCAGCTTAGAAAGTTCTTCCTTTTCAACTGATAAAATAGCAAGATGATGGAGCCTGTCTTGTCCCATTGTGCACCTCGGCCAAGTGTGGATCCTTCTCAACACACTGAATGACCTTTCACAACTCCAGCTGTAGACTGGGATTGTGAGGGAGATCTGGATGACCTGCGTTAGTGTTGGGAATATAATGTTATCAAGCAAGTTGAAAACACACTGCATATCCTTGATGACAAGGCTTTCTTTTTTAACCAGGAAAAGCTCAAACCATTTTGAATTAAATGAACGTTTTTTTACTCCAAATTTGTCCTGGGGATGGTGGGACAACTTCACTTGTTTAGGACCATCATGCTTTCCCCCTAAGTCACTAATGTCCCCTTCTTGTTTGTGGAAGCTGGTTGTTGCTCCCTCATCACCTTCATGGTCCTGTCTCTCTCCTGTCTCTCACCTGTCTCTTTCCTGTCAGTCTCTCCTCCTCCTCCCTTTCCTACTCCAGCACCTGCATTCTCATTCTCTACAGCAAACATTAAAAAAAACGCAAATTTATAATTATGTAAATATCTATCATATTACTTATAACGTTCCTAATGTAACTGGTTACATTAAATCACTAATTCATTACGGGACCTTACCTCCCTCTCTCTCATCTTGTTTTACTGCTTCCCTGTCTCTGCTTCGTGTGAGGAATTTCCTGATATCCATCTACAAACCAATGCGGTCATTTTCAGTTAGTAGCCTATAAATCATGTGGTTTCACTGGGAAAATAATAAAATTGACAGGTAAGAAACGTTACCAGAACTAAAAATGCGTCGTGGCCGCACAGAGCGGCGTGTTAGTTTACCTGCAGTTCATGCAGTGACATGCGCTGACGTGGGGGCGCTAATACATCCTCAATTTGGAGTTACCAACACACTTGCTGCGCATTTGAGTAGAAATATACGTCTCCTTCCGTTGGAAATAGAGATGTCCCGATCCAGGTTTTTGCACTTCCGATCCGTTACCGATATTGTTTTTGGACTTCCGATCCGATACCGATACTGGCCGATACCAGCCTATCCGAGCATGTATTTAAGTTTAAGTTAAAGTATTTAGCCTTAGTTGTAAGACTCATGTTGAAAAGGGTTTTAGTACTCTTTATAACATCTAGCCAGCTAAATTAGGTGAGATTGAATAAAACACAATGCTTGGTAACAACAAACTTACCTGTTTATTAAGAGATAAACACAAACTGGACAAAATTATGAATAGCAATCTGAAATTGCACAGTGAACAGTAAAACCGTAAACAGTTAAAGGTGCAAGTATTACTCTAAGTTTTAATAAAAATGTAAAACAGGGAAACACTGGCGCAAAATAGTGGAATGGATCGTTTCAATCGGCGAAACTGGAAAATACGGACCGGATTTTTTTCTTAAAAACTGGATCGGCAGTCTGGATCGGCATTTTACATGCTTTGCCGATATGCATTTTTTTGCCAATATCGGCGTCCCGATCCGATACCTAAATTGATGCATTAAAAAAATGTAATACTGTTGCAAATATTCATGAGATTTATACTGGGGCACAGCTCATTTATACTGGGGCACAGCTCATTTATACTGGGGCACGTGCCCCAGTAAATGGGGTCTGGCGACGCAGATGATATAGACAAGGCATTGTATTGCTTGGAAACATGCAAATGAAAACCGATGAGTGGGTCGTTTGGTTCCATTGTTAGCCTGTAATATCTAAAACCTGTCTATGATTCTGAAGGTCGTCGTTAATGGGTATTGTTCACCGGCTGATGAGAGGAGGTACTTTGTCCCTCTGTGATGGGGTGGGGGGTGTGAAGATATCTGGAAGGGATCATCTCTATAACTGAATTGTAAGTTTTTGAAAGCTAGAATCTGAGTCCACCACCTCTGTTTAAAGTTGTTTTTTTCTCTCTTAACATAGATGGCTTCCTTCACGCCCCTCTCAAACCACCTATTTTCTTTATCCAGAACGTGAACATTCTGGTCCTCAAAAGAATGTCCTTTGTCCACAAAGTGTAGATGTACTGCGGAGTCTTGTCCGAGGAGGCCGCTTTTCTGTGTTGAGCCATGTGTCTTTGGAGAGGTTGTTTGGTTTCTCCAATATAAAGATCAGAGCATTCCTTGCTGCACTGAACAGCATATACCACTCCGCTCATATTCGGTCTGGGAGTTTTATCTTTAGGATGCACTAGCCTCTGTTTAAGGGTTTTGTTTGGCTTGAAATGTACTGGAATTTTGTGTTTGGAGAAAATCCTCTTGAGTTTTTCAGACACTCCAGCAACATAAGGGATTGGGATGTTTTTGCGTTTAATTTTCTCATCGCTGTCTTCTGTTACGTGTAAATGCCCAGTTTGGATATCCACAGTTTTGGAGAGCATCTTTGATGTGTTTCTGTTCTTTGTGCTTCCTTTCTGTTTTAGTAGGGACATGTTCTGCCCGGTGTTGTAAGGTTCTGATGACTGAGAGTTTGTGTTCCAGTGGGTGGTGTGAGTCAAAAATAAGATACTATTCTGTGTGAGTAGGTTTCCTATACACTTCAATGTTTAGGCTTCCATCTCCTTCCATGCCATTCCATCAAGGGTCAGTTGATCCTTCCAGGGAGTGAAGGTCCGAGAAATCCAGTTTGCAGGATGACTTCCTGCCAAGAGGCAAAGACAAAACAAAGTTAAACTCAGGTTGACAAAAACTCAGCTTGACTAGAGTACCCTAAACTGGCAAACACTCTGGCGTCAAAGTAGTGGCAGTCAGCAGCTTAAGAACACTCCGTTTAACGAGGAAACCATCAGCAGGTGTGTCAGGAGGCGGACCAGAACCAGGAGCCTCCTGGTGGATAAAGGAAGACAAACACACAAACACAAAAACAGGAGTCCTACACTAGCAAGATCTTTTTTTTGTGAATTGTTAACATATAAAAAAATACCTCTTCCACTGTTGGTGAACTTCAGACTTTTATTGATTATGAACATTTCATTATAGGAAGATACAAAATATGTAATCCTGTTGATTTATTAGAATAAAAAAAACTATTTTGATGATATTTTCATTTAGATGTCATATAGAAAACTTTTATTGTATGTATAATCTACTGACAGAAGATCTTTAACAGGGCTGCTCCAACACGCATTCTCACATAATTATATCAACACATTTATAACATCTCTAAAATAACAAAAAAATTTAAAGATAAAGACTACAACAACACAGCTCAGCAAATTATTTCAAAACTCTGTAATTCATTTGGTTGCATTAAAACAGATGAGCGATGTGATTTAGCTTCCAGTGAACTTCAAGTTAACCATTAAGATCTACTACTACTACGCATCTATTATCTATTAGTGTGTAAATTCAGTTTGTCAGAAGACATTTATTTATCTAAAATGTAATCAGTTAATGTAGAATAAAGATTTCACTCAATGCCTTTAGCTTTCAGCTCCTCCTTGACTCTGCTCAGGTAGGTCTCATCAGGATATCCAAAACTGTGAAAGAACAAAATTGAAATGTTTAATACATGAAACTGAACATTAAAGGAAAGTAAAAGGATCAAATCAGATACCCGTACCGCTCTGGTCCTCCTGTCATGGATGTCTTGTGATGGATATCATTCCAGGTCACTGCATTCTTCAAACCAGTTGTCATTGAAGTTCCAACAGTGAAAATCAGCTTCTGGTCAAAAGCTTTTTTCAGCAGGTGCAGAACTTCATTCCCCTCCTTGTTATCTGGAAGATATGCTGTTCTAGTGGTTCCACTATATTGTTCTCCAGGGTTGGGGTGATTGTCCTACAAAGCAGAATGGGAAAAAACTGCTAACTTGCAGGCACGTTTTAAATTAGTAAAAAAATTGCAATTTTTTGTGTTTTGTAACATGAAAGACATTTACCTTTTGTTTTCCCTCTGGGATATTGTAGGTGATCTCTATGTGGCCACATCCTGGGAATCCAGGGAGGTCTGCATAGTTATGTTTTCTCCATCTCATTGTTCCATCAGGTTGGTTTCCCTTCACCACACCAAACACATCTTTGCATATAGGACAGATTGGTCCACTGTGCTGCACTACCATTTGCAGGCAGTCTTTGCAGAATGCATGCTTACACTTCAGCTGTTCCTTATTAGTAAATTCGGACATGCATATACAGCATTGGTCATCTTTGCCGTCACCTTCTTTTCTCTCCCCTAAAATCTGTCCAATTGATGCATCAAGATTTGGTTTATTTGTTATTGTAGGACTTCTAGAGTCTCCTTTCTTCTGATATTCAATATACTTTATTGTTCCAACATTTGTATCTCTCAAGGCCATGTTGCTCATCCTTGATGATGTAACAACTGGTACAGGTTTAAGATGATCAATGGGATGGTTTATCTTCTGCATTGCATTTAGGACTGCACTGAATTCATCTTGGCCTTGCTTTGGACCACAGACAATGACTTCTTCAGAGGACATAGAGAGCAAAAGCTTATCCTCACTTCTCTTGATGACTCTTAGTGCATCGCTCCACTGATCTGGATCTACAAACTTGAGGGGAATCACTACGTCCCCTGATTCAGCTGGGCAGCTCTGATAGAGCTCTATGAACTCACAGAGAGCCTCATTTGTTCTTCCAGCTTCAAATGTCAGATGGACCTGTGCCGTGATTTTACTTTTATATTTTCTCTCAATACATTTAATTTCTTCTTTGTAGATGTGGCTCATGTACCAAAAGGGATTCACTGGTAGAAGACAACTTTCTTGAGCTACACGTCCAGCCTTTATAAGGGGATTATTTTGTTTGACAGGGAGGACCTTGTCCTGAAAAGGGACACAATAAATAATAAATCAATCTTTCATTTTCTACTAACTGCATTATCTAACAATGAATACGACTGGGAACTCTAACCAAGATTCATTTTTGATTGGCATAAAAAGATACCTATGCTTTTATTTTAATTTTCTGTGTTCTAAAGGGATGAACACTATACTCTCTTTCTTTTCCTAAACTAATTTACTACCTCTGCCTAGGAGGTTTTGTTTTAGTCAAGTTTTTTTCTTTTGTTTGCCTGAGCTAAAGATAACTTGAAAAGTTAAGGATGGATTTTAATGACATTCTAACCAAAGGTGCACCTGAGTCCAAGCAACAACCCATAGTTTAGTGATGATCCACATCGTAATCTGGACAAATTATTTTTTTAAAGGATCCTCTAACATTGTGAGATAAGGCGAAACAAGCAGTACCCCACTAAACCAAAGGGTGGCAGCAGTGACTATCAACAGCCTCTGAGTTAAAGTGTCTGAACACCGAATGAGCTGATCTCTATTTATTCACTGGATTGCTGATTGCCCGTTGGTAGTATGGGGTTAAATGAAGCCACTGGCCACCATATTGGTACTCCCTAGTTAGACTGGTCGCATTGTAAACAATATGTGTTGCACAGCATCGAACAATGATGATGTTCTCATTTTCAGGGGAACTTAAGACTTTTAAAATAAAGATAAATTCATCACTTGGACAAACAATTGCTGTTTCACAGCATAAGTAGATTACTTTAACCTGTAATAAAAAAATAGGCACATCACATTGCATAGTCATTATGAGATCAATGAAGTCTCTAAATCATGTAGTATAACATATTATTTAAATCCATCACAATGAAATTAATCTGTTAACGGATCATAATTACACATATGTGCCAAAAGTGCTCATTTGATGATGTATATTAAATATACATGTATTTATTACATTGTTATGGTAATTACATCTTACATGTCTGTGTGTATATATATGCATGCAACACACACACACACACACACACACACATATATATATATATATATATATATATATATATATATATATATATATATATATATATATATATATATATATATATATATATATATATATATATATAGACTGACAAACAGGTGATGGCTAACCAACCAGACATCGTGTTGATCGACAAACAGCAGAAGAAGGCAGTAGTGATAGATGTGGCAATCCCAAGCGACAGCAACATCAAGAAGAAAGAACACGAGAAGCTTGAGAAATACCAAGGGCTGAAGGAGGAGCTAGAAAAGATGTGGAAAGTAAGAGCAGCAGTGGTGCCAGTGGTAATTGGAGCACTAGGGGCTGTGACCCCCAAACTGGGAGAGTGGCTACAGCAGATTCCAGGTAAAACATCAGAGGTCTCTGTCCAGAAGAGCGCAGTCCTAGGAACAGCTAAGATACTGCGCAGAACCCTCAAACTCCCAGGCCTCTGGTAGAGGACCCGAGCTTGAGGATGACACATACCACCCCACGAGGGGTGAGAAAACAGTTTTTTTTTTTTTTTTATATATATATATATATATATGGGTCAAATGTTTCAGTTGCTTTTTTTTAATCAACATGCCATGCAATATATTTCAGGCTATCTCGAGTCAATCCAAGATAGCCAGACTAATGTTACACTGCATACAAAACTATAGGATACACTGATTTTGATTGATTTTCTAGTACATCCACTGACTCTGAAATTACCTGTGAAACATCTTCCCACAGCCGGCAAACTGCTTGTTTTTGCAGCCAAATGCTACCCACACAGGCATTTTTACTGCGTGTCTTAGTTAGAAACTAGGTCGTATGCATAGGTGTTGCGGTGAACGCAGAGACGTCCCTGCCCCCTTCCGCAGACACTCTGCTGCATCTCTCCCAAATTGTAGGTAACTGCAGACACTGCTGTAGGAAGCCTCTGATTGGTCAAATCTACATCTGTTCTCCTCTATGCGTATTTCCTGTTTGGACTTTACCGGCTTGTTTTGTTTGTATGACCACCATTGTGGAAAACAACTCATGAAGTTGGACCGGCTAGAAGAGCAAGGTGCACGAGAATGCTGGGACCCTTTTTCCACTTGGATCTCTTTTTCGCCCTCATGTCCCTCCTTTGTCACACAAAATTTGCCCCAACTTCCTCACCGCCTCTGCCATATCTAGACTCACAGCTAGTTCATGATTGTCCCTCTTGTGTTGTGGCGTGAAGTAACATAGCGCAGACCACGCTTCAAAAAAGGACATAAATCAAAAATATTTGCGACAAGCTCACTGCGTCACACTGCTGCCAGCCCAACAGCATGGTAGATGGTCAGTAATCCAGTGAACAAATAGAGATCAGAGTGTGTAGCAGCTAAACAAAAAAAATACTGAATTGGAACTTCCTTTTTCTCCATTAATAGTCACTGCTGCCACCCTCTTGTTTAGTGAGGAAGTGCTTGTTCTGGCAAATATCCCTATCTCGAAACGTTACATAATCCTTAAAAAAAAAATCCTGCATCCAGATTATGATATGGCTCATTAATAAAATTCAAGGGATTGTTACCTGGACTGAGGTTTAGCTTTGGTAAAAAATAATATTAAAATCCGCTCACAAACGTTCAAAAATGTGAATTTGAAATACAACTAATCGTCATCAAACAGAGTTAATCTGGTTTTGGAATAAGTTTTGCATTGTTACACCCTCCCACCCCCCACCCCAACCCCAATCAAAAGGACTAAGCATATATGAAATTTTACCACCTTATTCTTTTTCTTATCTTGGCCCTTTAATGAAGCACTCTTCTTCCTTCAAAAAAAATGAAAACAAGATAAAAAAAAACTATCATAAAAAGTGAGAATTGCTCTTCTAAAAACTACTAGCAACTCCACTTGTTATACTCCACGGCTGGTCCTTTACCACCAAGCTTTTCATCATCACCCTAGAATTATGGCACAGATGCACATTGAACCTAGCTGGTTCTTCTAACTCCAAGGTAGAGTTGAATCTCTGCGTTGCATTTCAAATTGCACTGAGAACATTTCGACAATGTTGTGGCCCACACTCATTCTCTCAGGGGAAATGGTGGCTAAAAGCTTGTTGTCATTGTTATTAATGAATTCCGTGCATCACCCCACTGATCAGGATCTACAGACATCAGAGGAATAACTGAAGAACTGGAATCAGACAAATCCTTTTTGAGGAGATCTGTCAGCCTACTGAGAGCCTCAACTGGATTCCCACCATCATGTTCGGTGTTAAATGTCACCGTGACAGTTGGCATTCTGCTAACTTTAGTTTCTTTCTCTATGCGACTCATTTTTGTAGATCTGGCGGACATACCAGTAATGATCCAGTGTGCCAACACATTCCTCAGATCTCTTTTTATCATATTGAGCTTGGTTTCCTACCAGGGTAACTGGATTTGTCTGTCCTGCAATCTGCACCTACAAAATAAAAATTATATTAGGTTGAATAATATAGAATATAATTACAGTGTGTTTGTAAATTTCATGCATTTAGTTTGGAGGACATGCCACTGTCTGCTCTGACACCGAAGGTTTGGGGCTTTTTAAAGCAGCTGGAGAAGCGGTATTCACTGAAAGCACCATCTGCAGTTTGTGCACCAATCTTTGATACCCTTAGACTAAGTGAAAGAATGGTGACTTCTGTCCCATCTTTCATTAATGTTTCACCCTGTAGCTTCTGGAGCTCATTGAAGGCTAGAAAATTTGAAATACAAAATTAATTGGTCAAATTCTGAAAATCCATCATCATGTTAACCCTTTTATAGTTGCTATGGGAGCAGATTATCAGAGGGTTTAGAAAATAACATTTAACCATTTTACCACACCTGGAGGAAGTTTTATCTGAACCACAACACACCCGTTAGCAAGTGGATCTTTAACTGAGCAATTAGTCTTAATGTTTCTTTTGTTGAGCCAAGATTGAATATATTTTTACAGGAAACTTTAATTTTGGTTGTTTCTCATGTTTCCCCCAGTCTAATGATAAAGTTAGAAGTACATCATCCTGGTGCTCTGGAGAAGCATGTTGTGACCACAGAGCTGCTTTGGTTTGGAGTTTTTGTTTATGTTTTCTCACCTTCATTTTCAGGGTGTGCCGGGCAGGTGAAGCTCCCAGCAGGTACTCATCAGCCACAATCAAGGAAGCAGTATTTAGAGGAGTGGATTCCCTGAGTCAGACGACAGATGGTTACCAATACCAGTGGTAACTGGGTCCCTCGTCAAAAGACTTCCAAGTTAGTTGAACGTGTTTTTATCATCTTACTTACCAGTTGTGTTTCTCTTATTCCCGCTAGTTTACCTCCTGCTGAAGGCTGGCTCCTGGCTGAAGTCTGGCTCATGGTCCTCCCTCAACGGTGCTTTCACTCCTCCCAAAAGGCTTCGCTTCAAGATCCTTTAAAGCTGAGCTCACCTGCCTGTCCACCCTCCAACGCAAATTGAAGAACCGGATCACTCCAAGGTTTTCACTCCCTCTCTGTGGATACTGTTGCTCTCCCTCTCAGCCTGTTTCCAAGCCCAGTGAAGTAAGTATGCCCTCACTGTTCATCTCAACATCAGTTGGAACTCGTACTCATCACCTTACCTGTTTTGCAGTGAGACACAGCATTGGATTTCCTATTTACTCTGTTTCCAGTCTGAACAATAAAAACCCCTCAAGTAAACTCTGTTCTCCTGTCGTACGTATTGCTGCTGCGCCAGAGTCTTGATCCGAAATCATGTCAGAACCATCTTTCCAAATCGACTCTGCAGCCGTGTTACGTACGGCTTTATCCGAACAGGGAATTCTTTTCGGGCATCACGAAAATGCTATCACTAGTATGGCCCAACAACAGACTTCAATTCTGCAGACGCTTACTCAGCTCTCTCATCAAGTGCAACAGTTGAGTGCAAAATTTCCTGTTTCCTCATCCTCTGATTCTCCTTCTCAGTCTCCTGCTCCGGTGGCTCAGCCCCCCGCTGCTGCTTTCCGTGACACCGCCTCTCCACCTCCAGAACCCTTCGGGGAAACTGGGTAAGTGTAGAGGTTTTGTGTTACAGTGCTCCCTAGTGTTCAGGAGGTCCCCTCAGTCGATGATGCATCTAAGAAATTTTATATCATCGGTCTATTACGTGACAAAGCTCTTAGATGGGCTAAAGCCATTTTTGATGAAGAAAAGATCTATCATCATTTCCTATGATGATTTCTTGGATTTGTTTAAACAGACTTTTATACATAAAATTAGTGAGAAAGAAGCAGCCAAGAAGCTTTGACTCTCAAGCAGGGCAATAAATCTGCAGCTGAATTAGTGATTGAATTTCGGACCCTCGCTGGTTGGAACATGCCTGTCCTTAAAGGAGCATTCCTTCACACCCTATGCGAAAAAAAGATGAGCTTGCTAGCCGGGATGAACCAGATACTCTGGATGATCTGATTGCCTTAGCTCGACAAAAGATTGCGGGAAAGAAATAGACTCAAGCCGAAGCCCTCACATTCAACATTTCGTTTAGAGGTTCCTCTGTCACAACCTCCTGTTAATCCGTCTCCCCTTCCACTTCAGGAACCAATGTAAATTAGTCGCGTTCATCTCACTCCTGAGGAACGCCAGCGACGCATTAACTCAGGCAGCTGTTTGTACTGTAGATCCCCTGACCACTTAATTCCTCAATGCCCTGTGCGACCAAAAGCCAGAGCCGCCAGTAATTCTGGGGGTACTGGCGGGCAAGCAGTTCTTAAAAGATAACCTCCGGCTTTCAATCCCATCTACTGTTTGTGTCAATAATCAGACTTATCAAGTCCTCTCCCTTGTTGACTCTGGTTCAGAACAGAATCTAATTAGTCCTGAACTCGTCAACCAGTACAAGATCCCTTTTGAGGATCTCCCTGCTCCAGTTCCTGTATCTGCACTAGATGGTAGTGCACTCCATTCAGTCACACAGCGAACCAGACCCATTTCATTCATGATGTCAGGCAATCCCCATGAACTCATATCTTTTTTTATCTTCCCTACAAGGAACTCTCCTATAGTTCTGGACTTCCCTTGGCTTAAGAAGCACAACCCACACATAAACTAGTCTCAGTCATGCATTGAGTCATGGGATCCTAAATACCTTAATAGGTGTCTTCATTCAGCTCTTCCACCCAGTTCTCCGCCCCCAGAACCTACTCTTTCAGATCTAGCCAATGTGCCTTCAGAATATCACGATCTGCAGCGGGATTTCTGTAAAGAATTGGCCCTCTCTCTCCCTCCTCACAGACCATGTGATTGTGCCATTAATCTTTTACCTGGGACCCCTGGGGCCGTTTATTTAACCTATCCAGACCAAAGAGAGAAGCCATGGAAAAATAAATATCTGATTCTGTGAATGCTGGCATCATTCGACCGTCCTCTTCCCCTCTAGAAGCAGGTTTTTTTCTTCGTACAGAAGAAAGTTGGGACTCTCCGTCCATGTATTGATTATAGAGGGCTTAATCAAATCACCATCAAAAATAAATATTCCCTTCCTCTCATTTCCTCTGCCTTCGAACCAGTCCGACAAGTTACCATCTTCACCAAACTAGATATTTTCAATGCGTACCATCTTGTAAGAATTCGTCAAGGCGATGAGTGGAAAACTGCTTTCAAAACACACATAGGTCACTATGAATACCTAGTTATGCCATTTGGGCTTTGCAAAGCTCCAGCTGTGTTTCAGTCCCTAGTCATGACATTCTAAGGGACTTCCTGAACATTTTTGTCTTTGTTTACATTGACAACATTCTGATCTTTTCTAAGGACCCCGAAGAGCACCAGGAACACGTCCGAAAAGTCTTACAAAGACTTTTGGAGAGTCATCTGTATGTGAAAGCCGAAAAAATGTGAGTTTCAGGTGTCATCCATAACTTTTCTTGGTTTTGTTTTTGAGGGTGGACAGGTGAAGACGGACACAGCCAAGCTCCAAGCTGTAGTGGACTGGCCGGTTCCAGAATCCAGGAAACAGCTCCAACGTTTTCTTTGCCAATTTTTACAGGAGGTTCATCAGGAACTTCAGTCTGATTGCTGCCCCCCTGTCAGCTCTCAACTCCACTAAGAGAACTTTCTCCTGGTCACCTGAGGCAGACAAGGCTTTCACTGACCTCAAAAAGATGTTTACTCAAACTCCCATTCTCATCCACCCTGACCCCTCAGAGCAGTTTATCTTGGAGGTGGATGCCTCTGATACAGGGGTTGGAGCAGTCCTCTCTCAGAGATCCCACCGTGACAAGAAGATGCACCCCTATGCCTTCTTCTCCCGCCGGTTTTCACCTCTGGAGAGAAATTACAACATTGGTTTTCGAGAGCTTTTGGCCATTAAGCTTTCCCTTGAGGAGTAGAGGCACTAGCTAGAGAGAACTGATCTCCCTGTTATTGTGTGAACAGATCATAAAAACCTAGCATACCTTCAGAATGCTAAGCGACTCAACCCCAGGCAATACCGATGGACTCTATTCTTCTCCAGGTTCAACCTAAACATTACCTACCTTCCAGGTTCTCGCAACATGAAGGCAGATGCTGTCACTTCAGTGCTCTCCTGACGAACCTTCAGAATCTCCCCAACCCATTCTTCCCCACTCCTGCACCGTTGGGGGGCTTTCTTGGGACCTTGAGACTTGCATCCAAAAGGCACTTAAAGATGAGCCTGATCCAGGAGGCGGTCCTCCCAATTGCCTCTATGTCCCCATGTCTGTCCGTTCTCAGATCATCCAGAGGGCTCACTCATCCTGTTTCTCTTGTCACCCTGGTGTCCGCAGAACCATAGGGTTACTCCGCCGCTACTTTTGGTGGCCTTCCCTTAACAAAGACATAGCTGACTTTGTCACTGCTTGCCCGAACAAGAACCTTCACCATCCTCCCACAGGGTTGCTACAACCTCTCCCTATTCCTAGCAGACCTTGGTCTCATATCGTGTAAAAAGTCTCCCAACCATTTATGGTTGCACTGTAGTCACAGATTTAAACTTGAGTTTTAATATTCCTTGTTTCAGGATTTTTTGGGTGTGTCTAAAATGTGGCCTCTAGTAGGCATGCAGCTGTCCACCCCCTGCCGGCCCAGCAGTATAAAGACAAACAGAAAGGCCGCTTCTGCCTTGTTGCCATCTCAGAGCCTAATTTGATTGCCTTTTTAGACCCCTATACAAACTTTTTTTTTTTTCAAACAACTATGACAAGTCTATGTACTTTTTTCTGTCTTGTTTGAGACTTTGGTAAAAACACATGATAGCACTTATCGAGTTTACCATCTTCATGTAAAGCTAGCAAGCCCCTCCCTCCTCCACAGCGACTTGTTTCTGCATTCACTGAGCAGAGCGACCGTGACACACCGAGTTGCTTAGAGCAGAGAAAACTAAAATTTTTTTATTATCTTTGAGACCTAATTCCTTATGCGCAGTTGTGTTTTTAATTATTCAAATTCAGATGGGTGACTAAAACACATTTTTGTGGTGTAACTAACTGAAAACACACAGCTGCAGTCCTAATAATACAAATAATAGAAAAGTAAACCTGAGATTGAGGTTCTTGAAGACCAGATTCTTTGAGGCTGGGTGGTTTTGCGTCAGGTCCTTTAGAGTCAGGTCCTTTGGAGTCAGGTCTTTTGGGGTCAGGTGGTATGGAGTCAGGTCTTTTGGAGTCAGGTCCTTTGGGGTCAGGTCCTTTGGAGTCAGGTCTTTTGGAGTCAGGTGCTTTGGAGTCAGGTCTTTTGGAGTCAGGTGCTATGGAGTCAGGTCTTTTGGAGTCAGGTCTTTTGGAGTCAGGTCTTTTGGAGTCAGATCCATAGGAATCAGGTCTTTTGGAGTCAGATCCATAGGAGTCAGCTCTGTTGGAGTCAGATCTATAGGAGTCAGGTCTGTTGAAGTCAGGTACGTTGGTGTTCGGTCCGTTGGAGTCAGTTCCAGTGGAGTCAGGTCGGTTGAAGTCAGATTGGTTGAGGTCAGGTCTGTTGAAGTCAAGTCCGCTGGAGTCAGGTGTTTGGGGGTTCGTTGTTCCGAAGTAAAATTCCTCAGGTTTCTGGTCAATATCCATTGGCTGAACTACGTCAGACATTGTAACAGTGTTTTTCCTACGAAACATAAATATTAGCACATGTGTTATCAGGTTTTAAGGACAAGGGACTCTCTCCCATACAACACAAGAAGAATATATAAAAATGTAATAAGTTAAATTACTAGAAGATAACTGTAAAGGATAATACTGTGATTTTTGCTTACAACGCAATAGTTGTTTGTTCTAAACTATTTTTAAGTTGCACAGATTATATTTTAAACATATATGTTAATAAAATGGTAGTAATTACAAGCCCTGAAAAGTATAATTAAATCACTTGAATTAAAGTAATATTAAGCCACTTCTGAAAATATTCACATTATTGTAATGATCTTGGTTCTGTTGTTTTTCTTTAAGCTTTCTGTTTCAAGTTTAGCCAGGTTTTTCATTGATTTCTAGCTTTTTTTGGTGTGTCTGGATTCATTTAAGTTGCTTAGGTTTTTCTGTCTGTCCCCTGCTGCCTCCTTGTGTTCTTTTCCCTTGGCTTCCTCGTCAGCTCTAATCACACCTGTTCCCTATCAGCTCATTACCTCTACCTTTGTTCAGTCAGCCATAAATACACTCCCTCTGCAGTCCCTCTTTGCTGGTTCCTCGTCTTTACCTTTCCTCACCCTGGCTCCTTGTTGGTTTTTCCCTGATGTCTCCATGGTTCTGGTTAGTGTTTGTTTTTTATGTTGGATTTTTGGATTCCTGTTTTTGTTAAACATTTTTTAAGTTGGATTTTTGGATTCCTGTTTTTGTTTACCATTTTTTTAAGTTGGATTTTTGGATACCTGTTTTTGTTGCCTTATCTTGCAATAAACCCTCCAAGAATTCACCTCTGCCTCCCAGCTTCTGCGTTTGGGTCCAATCTAAACCTTTTAACCAAATCGTGACAGAAGGAACCAGCCAAGAATGGACCCAGCAGAACACGGCCCGGACGCCCCCAGGAGAATTTCCATTATTCTCAGGAATGCTCTGGACTCCATTGCCGCTCTCAGTCCGCCTTGGAAGAGGGTGAGTGCGGTTGACCAGTTGAAGCCAGTATTCTTCTCTAACTCCTCACTTCTATCACCACCAGTTTTATCTGAGCTATTCGAGGAGTTGGAGTGGAACCGCCAAGCCGCCTTCGCCCAACTCTGCAATAGACCTCCACCACCCAAACCATCACTCCATCACCTTCCCACTCTGCTGTCTCTCACCTCCGATCCTGTTCCCCCACCATTACCAGCTGTGGGTCCTCCCCTGCCATCTGCTTCCTCCAGGCGCAAGCAACGCCGCCGGGGGAGGAAGACAACCACCTCTCCGGAGCGTCAGCCTGACTCCTCCTCTCCCTCTCCGGAGGGTCAGCCTGACTCCTTTTTCAGTCCCTCTCTTAACCTGGTTAGTTTCCCCTATGGCTTTAGTCGTCACCTCCATGACAAACAGCTAGCTTCTCGGGTTGGTAGGTTTAGACCTGCTTTCATAACTTCACCCCCCACAGTCAGAGCTCCCCATATACCAGAGTCAGATCTCTGGGGTTTCTTTTATGGGGAGAGGGAAGATCTTTTCCCTTTTCTGCCATCTCCATCAGCTCCTAGCAGTCCAGTTTCCCTAGCACCAGAGGCCGTTAGCAGGCTAGCTAGCCCAGCACCAGAGGCCGTTAGCAGGCTAGCTAGCCCAGCACCAGAGGCCGTTAGCAGGCTAGTTAGCCCAGCACCAGAGGCCGTTAGCAGGCTAGTTAGCCCAGCACCAGAGGCCGTTAGCAGGCTAGTTAGCCCAGCACCAGAGGCCGTTAGCAGGCTAGTTAGCCCAGCACCAGAGGCCGTTAGCAGGCTAGTTAGCCCAGCACCAGAGGCCGTTAGCTGGCTAGTTAGCCCAGCACCAGAGGCCATTAGCAGGCTAGTTAGCCTAGCTCCAGAGACCCCTGAGCCCGCTCTGTGCCCTCTGGAGACCCCTGAGCCCGCTCTGTGCCCTCTGGAGACCCCTGAGCCCGCTCTGTGCCCTCTGGAGACCCCTGAGCCCGCTCTGTGCCCTCTGGAGACCCCTGAGCCCGCTCTGTGCCCTCTGGAGACCCCTGAGCACACTTTCAAAGAGGCTTCAGACTTTGGGGTTTGTGGGAGTACGCCTCCAAGAGCCCCTCAGCGGGAGCTCCAAGCCTCCAAGAGCCCTCTGCGGGCACTCCAAGCCCTCTCTGAGGCTGTTCCTGAACCACAGTCGGCGGCCCCCTCAGAACCTGATCCGGAACTGCGGTCGGCGGTCTGCTCCTGAGCCGCAGTGGGCGGCCTCGTCTGATCCTGTTCCTGAGCCGCAGTGGGCGGCCTCGTCTGATCCTGTTCCTGAGCCGCAGTGGGCGGCCTCGTCTGATCCTCTTCCTGAGCCGCAGTGGGCGGCCTCGTCTGATCCTGTTCCTGAGCCGCAGTGGGCGGCCTCGTCTGAACCTGTTCCTGAGCCGCAGTGGGCGGCCTCGTCTGAACCTGTTCCTGAGCCGCAGTGGGCGGCCTCGTCTGAACCTGTTCCTGAGCCGCAGTGGGCGGCCCAGTCTGATCCTGTTCCTGAGCCGCAGTGGGCGGCCCAGTCTGATCCTGTTCCTGAGCCGCAGTGGGCGGCCCAGTCTGATCCTGTTCCTGAGCCGCAGTGGGCGGCCCAGTCTGATCCTGTTCCTGAGCCGCAGTGGGCGGCCCAGTCTGATCCTGTTCCTGAGCCGCAGTGGGCGGCCCAGTCTGATCCTGTTCCAGAGCCGCAGTGGGCGGCCCCTTCCGAGGCTGTTCCAGAGCCGCAGTGGGCGGCCCCTTCCGAGGCTGTTCCAGAGCCGCAGTGGGCGGCCCCTTCCGAGGCTGTTCCAGAGCCGCAGTGGGCGGCCCCTTCCGAGGCTGTTCCAGAGCCGCAGTGGGCGGCCCCTTCCGAGGCTGTTCCAGAGCCGCAGTGGGCGGCCCCTTCCGAGGCTGTTCTAGAGCCGCAGTCGACGGCTCCCTCTGAGCCTGTTGCAGAGCAACAGAAGCGGAGGCGGCGTCCTCCTCGGCGCATCCTGCGGAGGCGGCGTCCTCCTCCTAGGTTTCTGCTGCATTGGAGACGCCGGCCTCCAGAGCGTCTCTCTCAGCCCCGGCCCCGCGGCCGGCCTCCAGGGCGTCTCTCTCAGCCCCGGCCCCGCGGCCGGCCTCCAGGGCGTCTCTCTCAGCCCCGGCCCCGCGGCCGGCCTCCAGAGACTCTGCCTCGCCTCCGGCCCCGCGGCCGGCCTCCAGAGACTCTGCCTCGCCTCCGGCCCCGCGGCCGCCCTCCAGAGACTCTGCCTCGCCTCCGGCCCCGCGGCCGCCCTCCAGAGACTCTGCCTCGCCTCCGGCCCCGCGGCCGCCCTCCAGAGACTCTGCCTCGCCTCCGGCCCCGCGGCCGGCCTTTCAGAGACTTTCGATTGTCCTCGCCCACTCTGGATGGGTTGCGTTTTGTTTCTTGGACTGTTTTTGGCTTCTTTCCCCCCTTCCTGGTTCCCCCTCCGCCCACCCTGGGTTGTTTTGTTTTTTTTTGCTTTTTGGACATTAAAGGGGCGTCTGGAATCCGCCCTTGAGTGGGGGGCTCTGTAATGATCTTGGTTCTGTTGTTTTTCTTTAAGCTTTCTGTTTCAAGTTTAGCCAGGTTTTTCATTGATTTCTAGCTTTTTTTGGTGTGTCTGGATTCATTTAAGTTGCTTAGGTTTTTCTGTCTGTCCCCTGCTGCCTCCTTGTGTTCTTTTCCCTTGGCTTCCTCGTCAGCTCTAATCACACCTGTTCCCTATCAGCTCATTACCTCTACCTTTGTTCAGTCAGCCATAAATACACTCCCTCTGCAGTCCCTCTTTGCTGGTTCCTCGTCTTTACCTTTCCTCACCCTGGCTCCTTGTTGGTTTTTCCCTGATGTCTCCATGGTTCTGGTTAGTGTTTGTTTTTTATGTTGGATTTTTGGATTCCTGTTTTTGTTAAACATTTTTTAAGTTGGATTTTTGGATTCCTGTTTTTGTTTACCATTTTTTTAAGTTGGATTTTTGGATACCTGTTTTTGTTGCCTTATCTTGCAATAAACCCTCCAAGAATTCACCTCTGCCTCCCAGCTTCTGCGTTTGGGTCCAATCTAAACCTTTTAACCAAATCGTGACAATTATGTTAATTTGGCTTTTATATACAGTGGTTAAAAAGGCGCGATTGTTGAGAATTTTCTTTCTCCCTTAATAATAAAAGCATTAAAAAACTGTATTTGTGTTTACTTCTATTGTCACTGAATAATATCTTGCTCAGATTGTTGTTCTGAAACACTTTAGTGACAAATATTCGAGAAAAAAAAAAAGAAAACTAGGAACCACTAAATTAATTATTAAAGGAGTACCAAAGAACTTTCATTATGGTCGATTTTGGCTCCCCCCAGTTGACAAAAGCTGTATTGTTTTTGCCTAAAGGAAGACCCCATTTCCAATGAGGGCCTCTCAAAGAAATTTTGTCTAATAGCCTTCGTCTTGATAGAATAGAATAGAATTCAACTTTACTGTCATTGCACTATCACGAGTACAAAGCAACAATATGTGGTTTGCATTTATCCAGATGTGCTATACAGGATATAAATATTATAACAGGTGTATGTACAAGCAAAAAGTAATAGTTAGGGACTGTAAAAAGTTGTGTATAAATGAAGGTTGTTTTGAGTTACCTGGATATAGAGGCTGACAGAAATTATTTTTCTGCTCTACTTTGAGTAGGCTACTTATTCTAGCCAAGATCCAACTGTAAAGTTAAACGTTTAGGTTCGCCTCTGTCTTCATGTTTCTACAAACTACTTCTTTGATCAATATTTATAGAAATCCTGTCATATTTTCTATATAAAAACAGTAAAATATTAAGTGAACCCTGTGACGTACTTACCGTCAATGTTTTCAGCACTTCTCAGTAAATGAAAGTGAAAGCAGCTGAAGCTCAGCTGTCAGGAAAGTCGCTCCCAGCGTCCAACTGACGCTCCTCCGTCACGCGCTCAGGTTTTGCCATTTTATCTCTTCTGGTCATTTAATTTGTTACGTGCAAACCTTGTTGAGCTACAGACCCATTAAGCATCTGAAAACAATATTTAAAACTTAATTTATTTTAGCGATTCCATTTACTCACATGCTGACGTCATTAAGCTGATATTTTTCTTACAGTCTTTGGACATATCGACATTTTGTTTTTTTCTCTCTCTCCCTTTTTGTCATTGGATCCTGTGGATTATTTATCCTGCACCTCAAGCATGCGACCGTTTGCAATTGTATATTCGGTTTTTTAAATAAAGTTTATTTGAAAAAAATGTTTTTGGACATCGTCGTCTTTTCAGTGTCTTTTCAGCCAATTTTTGCTCTGTGGGAATTATGGTCAGATCAGATCTATCTCTCTCTCTCTCTATATATATATATATATATATATATATATATATATATATATATATATATATATATGTATATATACATACATACATATGTATATATTTGCTGAACTTATGTGGGTCTACAAACCTTAGAGCAATCACTGCCATGTCCGATTCCACTAAGCCAGTCTTAATTCATGAGTGTTTGATGAGCTACATATTGACCACGTGTTTTTAATCTTTTCCACTTTACTTAGTATTGTTTAATTTTTGAATCTTATTTTATACTAACCAACCTAGAAAGATAATTTGTTTTGTGAATTGTTAACATATAAAAAATACCTCTCCCACTGTTGGTGAACTTCAGACTTTTGAACATTTCATTATAGGAAGATAAAAAGTATGTAACCCTGTTGATTTATTAGAATAAAAAAAACATTTTTGATGATATTTTCATTTAGATGACATATAGAAAAACTTAATTGTATGTCTAATCTACTGACAGAAGTTCTTTAACAGGGCTGCTCCAACACGCATTCTCACATAATTACATCAACACATTTATAACATCTCTAAAATAATAAAACAATTAAAAGATAAAGACTACAGAAAACAGCTCAGCAAATTATTTCAAAACTCTGTAATTCATTTGGTTGCATTAAAACCGATGAGCGATGTGATTTAGCTTCCAGTGAACTCGAAGTTAACCATTAAGATCTACTACTACTACGCATCTATTATCTATTAGTGTGCAAATTCAGTTTGTCAGACTTTAGGAAGACATATTTATCTGAAATGTAATCAGTTAAAGGAGAAGTTCGGTTTTTTACACTTTAAGCCCATTTTCTGTAGTGTCCAGGATGAAATCGAATGATCGACACCAAAAGTTTGACAATTGCTCCTGTCTCTGCTTTTTGGCTCATGCAGAATCAACCCCTGGCTGCTTTAGAATGGCTTGCATAGAGCATGTCCGATAATGTCCTTAAAACAACCTTAAACGTTCTTTTTTTTAAATATGCTACTCACCGTGTCGTCAGCGCTGTTCAATGACGTTCCAAAAAAAGTTTCGTGAAGAAAAAACGTTCCTGTAGTGTTTTATTTAGCATTTTGTAAATCCCATTGAGTTCTGTAGGAATAGTCAATATTCCCCTGCCACCGGAAACGGAAATGGGGCCTGTTTACACAGTTGTAGTCTTTTCGCTTCACTCTGTGTACTCCGACGTCGAGGTGCTAACGTCTCTGTTAAACACTTTAAAAAACTCTGAAAATGGAATACGAAAGGTGGATTCTTGATTCTCGACGTCGGAGTACACAGAGTGAAGCGAAAAGACTACAACTGTGTAAACAGGCTCCATTTCCGTTTCCGCTGGCAGCGGAATATTGACTATTCCTACAGAACTCAATGGGATTTACAAAATGCTAAATAAAACACTACAGGAACATTTTTTCTTCACGAAACTTTTTTTGGAACGTCATTGAACAGCGCTGACGACACGGTGAGTAGCATATTTAAAAAAAAAGAACGTTTAAGGTTGTTTTAAGGACATTATCAGACATGCTCTATGCAAGCCATTCTAAAGCAGCCAGGGGTTGATTCTTAATGAGCCAAAAAGCAGAGACAGGAGCAATTGTCAAACTTTTGGTGTCGATCATTCGATTTCATCCTGGACACTACAGAAAATGGGCTTAAAGTGTAAAAAAACCGAACTTCTCCTTTAATGTAGAATAAAGATTTCACTCAATGCCTTTAGCTTTCAGCTCCTCCTTGACTCCGCTCAGGTAGGTCTTATCAGGATATCCAAAACTGTGAAAGAACAAATCTAAAATGTTTAATACATGAAACTGAACATTAAAGGAAAGTAAAAGGATCAAATCAGATACCCGTACTGCTCTGGTCCTCCTGTCATGGATGTCTTGTGATGGATATCATTCCAGGTCACTGCATTCTCCACCCCAGTTGTCCTAGATTCTCCAACAGTGAAAATCGGCTTCTGCTCAAAGGCTTTTTTCAGCAGTTGCAGAACTTCATTCCCCTCCTTGTTATCTGGAAGATATGCTGTTCTAGTAGTTCCTACAGTACATAGTACTGTCCAGACTTGGGAGGATTTTTCTGATAGAATGGAAAAAGTCTGGTAAGTGATAGCCATTTCAAAAATACATGTTAAGTTCTTAATATAGGGAATTTGAGCTGGTACTTTACTGTCTGTAATTCTATAGGGATATTGTAGGTGATCTCTATGTGGCCAGGGAGGTCTGCATAGTTTTGTTTTCTCCATCTCATTGTTCCATCAGGTTGGTTTCCCTTCACCACACCAAACACATCTTTGCATATAGGACAGATTGGTCCACTGTGCTGCACTGCCATTTGCAGACAGTCTTTGCAGAATGCATGCTTACACTTCAGCTGTTCCTTATTAGTAAATTTGAACATACATACACTATATTGCCAAAAGTATTTGCTCACCCATCCAAATTATTGGAATCAGGTGTTCCAATCACTTCCATGGCCACAGGTGTATAAATTCAAGCACCTAGGCATGCAGACTGTTTTTACAAACATTTGTGAAAGAATGGGTCGCTCTCAGGAGCTCAGTGAATTCCAGCGTGGAACTGTGATAGGATGCCACCTGTGCAACAAATCCAGTCGTGAAATTTCCTCGCTCCTAAATATTCCACAGTCAACTGTCAGCTGTATTATAAGAAAATGGAAGTGTTTGGGAACGACAGCAACTCAGCCACGAAGTGGTAGGCCACGTAAACTGACGGAGCGGGGTCAGCGGATGCTGAAGCGCATAGTGCGAAGAGGTCGCCAACTTTCTGCAGAGTCAATCACTACAGACCTCCAAACTTCATGTGGCCTTCAGATTAGCTCAAGAACAGTGCGCAGAGAGCTTCATGGAATGGGTTTCCATGGTCGAGCAGCTGCATCCAAGCCATACATCACCAAGTGCAATGCAAAGCGTCGGATGCGGTGGTGTAAAGCACGCCGCCACTGGACTCTAGAGCAGTGGAGACGCGTTCTCTGGAGTGACGAATCGCGCTTCTCCATCTGGCAATCTGATGGACGGGTCTGGGTTTGGCGGTTGCCAGGAGAACGGTACTTGTCTGACTGCATTGTGCCAAGTGTAAAGTTTGGTGGAGGGGGGATTATGGTGTGAGGTTGTTTTTCAGGAGCTGGGCTTGGCCCCTTAGTTCCAGTGAAAGGAACTCTGAATGCTTCAGCATACCAAGACATTTTGGACAATTCCATGCTCCCAACTTTGTGGGAACAGTTTGGAGCTGGCCCCTTCCTCTTCCAACATGACTGTGCACCAGTGCACAAAGCAAGGTCCATAAAGACATGGATGACAGAGTCTGGTGTGGATGAACTTGACTGGCCTGCACAGAGTCCTGACCTCAACCCGATAGAACACCTTTGGGATGAATTAGAGCGGAGACTGAGAGCCAGGCCTTCTCGTCCAACATCAGTGTGCGACCTCACAAATGCGCTTCTGGAAGAATGGTCAAAAATTCCCATAAACACACTCCTAAACCTTGTGGACAGCCTTCCCAGAAGAGTTGAAGCTGTTCTAGCTGCAAAGGGTGGACCGACGTCATATTGAACCCTATGGATTAGGAACGGGATGTCACTTAAGCTCATATGTGAGTCAAGGCAGGTGAGCAAATACTTTTGGCAATATAGTGTATATAGCATTGGTCATCTTTGCTGTCACCTTCTTTTCTCTCCCCTAAAATCTGTCCAATTGGTGCATTCAAGGTCACGTTGCTCATCCTCTGTGATGTACCAACTGATACAGGTTTAAGAAGGTCAATGGGATGGTTTATCTTCTGCATTGCATTTAGGACTGAACTGAATTCATCTTGGCCTTGCTCTGTGTGGTAATGTGGCTCTTTTGTTTTATTTTGAAGTTGGTTTCATGTCTTGTTTTCCTGATTTGAAGTTGTTTGCTTTTCTTGTTGGATTTAGTTTGGGTTTGCTGTGTTGCATGTTTCTTCTGATTTTGTCTTGGTTTTAAGGTGACGTTGCCACGTGTACCCGGAGACCCCGTGGCGGCAGCACAGGTGTTCTCTATCAGCTGAGCAGCATACAGACGGTGGTGATAAAAGGCAGCTGTGCAGTTGAAGAAGACAGAAGAAAGCCGGACAGAGCACGGGGAAAAGGAGCTGCAGACGGAGAGAGGACCGTGCAGTGAGGACCGCGCAGGGTGTTGGAGAGAGAGGACAACCCCGCGTGTTGGAGAGAGAGAGGACGGCCCGGCATGTTGGAGAGAGTCATGTCAGCTAAGAGTACACCCCTTTTTACAGACTGTCCGCTGACTCTGCTGCTCCTGACTGCCCTGCATTTTTTTTAAATCTTTTTACCTTTTAACTTTTTTTTTATTTAGAGAACTTTTTTGCAAATTCTTTTTTTTAAATCAATTATTGAACTTTTAATCTATTAACATTTTTAAGGCTCTGCTCACAATCGCCGCCGTCTCTTTTCTTTTGTTTTTGGATGATCACACCTCTCTGGGGTGCCACATTTGGACCACAGACAATGACTTCTTTAGAGGACATAGAGAGCAAAAGCTTATCCTCACTTCTCTTGATGACTCTTAGTGCATCGCTCCACTGATCTGGATCTACAAACTTGAGGGGAATCACTACGTCCCCTGATTCAGCTGCAGCTCTGATAGAGCTCTATGAACTCACAGAGAGCCTCATTGGGTCTTCCAGCTTCAAATGTCAGATGGACCTGTGCCATGATTTTACTTTTATATTTTCTCTCAATACATTTAATTTCTTCTTTGTAGATGTGACTCATGTACCAAAAGGGATTTACTGGTAGAAGACAACTTTCTTGAGCTACACGTCAAGCCTTTATAAGGGGATTGTTTTGTTTGACAGGGAGGACCATGTCCTGAAAAGGGACACAATAAATAATAAATCAATCTTTCAATTTCTGATGACTGCATTATCTGACAATGAATACGACTGGGAACTCTAACCAAGATTCATTCTTATTTACATAAAAAAAGATACCTATGCTTTTATTTTAAGCTTCTGTGTTCTAAAGGGATGAACAGTATACTCTCTTGCTTTTCCCAAAATAATTTACTACCTCTGCCAAGGAGGTTTCGTTTTAGTCAAGTTTTTTTTTTTTTTTCCTTTTGTTTTCCTGAGCTAAAGATAACTTGAAGTTATGGATGGATTTTAATGATAATCTAACCAAAGGTGCACCTGAGTCCAAGGAACAACCCATAGTTTAGTGATGATCCACATCGTAATCTGGACAAATTATTTTTTTAAAGGATCCTCTAACGTTGTGAGATAAGGCGAAACAAGCAGTACCCCACTAAACCAAAGGGTGGCAGCAGTTACTATCAACAGCCTCTAAGTTAAAGTGTCTGAACACTGAATGAGCTGCGTATAGCCACTGTTCTCTATTTATTCCAAGGGCGTAGGTTTGATTTCAACTTTGGCAGGGACACTATTGGTCACTGGCGTAACTTTCTGAAGGACTGGTGTGGACATGTCTCTACCAACTTTGAAATGGGTGGTGACAGTACCCACCAATGATTTGTACATTTGTGTTCAAATGTACAATGCAATGCAATCGATGCAATCAACTGGTTTTCCTTAGATAGAAAACTTTGTATCAATTTGACTGTATGATCTGGTTGAACTGTAAAGTGCCTTGAGATGACATGTGTTGTGAATTTGGCGCTATATAAATAAACTGAATTGAATTGAATTGCTCAGTGTGAAACTCAAACATTCCCTTGGTAGAAAGTGGATCCAAACCTCCAGTTTGAATCCCCAGCTCAGTTTGAGGCTCAGTTGATCCCTCCAGGGAGAGAAGGTCCAAAAAGTCCAGTTTGCAGGATGACTTCCTGCCGAGAGGCAAAGTCAAAAATAGCAAGGTTAAAACTCAGGTTGACAAAACTCAGCAACACTCAGCTTGGCTAGAGTACCCAAAACTGGCAAACACTCTGGCGTCGAGGTAGTGGCAGTCAGCAGCTTAAGAGCACTCAGTTAATGAGGTAACCCTTAGCAGGTGTGTGAGTAGGTGAATCAGGACCAGGCGCCACCTGGTGGAGGAAGGAAGACAAACACACAAAACACAAACCACACAAACAGAAGTCCTAACAGTAATGCAATAAGTTTGACAAAAGCAGGTGTTTAAATAGTGTGTTCTTTGCTGGTTTGCAAAAAGCAAAACATCTCAGTTTTTCCCCTGTTTTTATTTGTTATTAATGTTGCTGATGTTTCTGAGCCATTACAAAAGAACCACTTAAAGGAACCAGTATATCTGTACATTATAATATTTTTGTTTTGTTGTTGTTTCTCAGCAATATGAAAGTAATGAATAAATGTGTGGCATTAAAATTTGTGTATGGGCTTATTTTAGCTAAATACAAAAATGGAGACATTTTTAATGATCTGTTACTTTAAAAAGCATTTAACACTGAGATAAAAGGGTATAGGTTTTTATGCATCCATGTTATACATTGAATTTCTTAATAAAAAAATAATAAATAAATAAAATTTTATATTTTACAATCTAAAGTGTTTTTTTTAAGTAGGGAACAACAATAGTTTGGTATATAGACAATTTCCTGATTCCCATATTTTATAAAACACAGTTTTTTCTTTCTTTTTTCGAACTTGATGAGAGCAGTGGGCTTTATGCTGACCTGCAAGGCTTTGAACCTGGGTTTGAATGGAGACAAAGCCATTCTAAAGCACATATCAAGATGCTAATTTTGAGCCTGGATCCATGTTTATTTTTGATCATGTTCATGGTGGAGAATCCTGCTTCTCAGCAGCAGGTTGAGCCAAACATACTCTAAATGGTCAGGCTCCGCTCCGGTCCGGCCAGGTCAAGATCCGCTATTGCAATCGCACCGAACAGGAAAAAGAACGGCGAGAGAAGATCCGCTTTGTCAAATTAAAATATAGTAACAAAAGATTGGTAACTACAAATTAGAGCATAATTCTTACATATTTAAAAAAAACTAACACTGTTTATTTAAAGGACTGGATGCAAACTATTGGTTCTTCAACAGATCAGGACGCACATGTGCTGGATGCTGATGGGGATTTTTTTTATCTGTCATATTAAATTAAGCATTAATTTCTGCATGTTTTGTTCCTACGTATTTAATGATAATATGGTGCATGCTCTCCTCGAGCTCCTAGGATAAGTCGGAGCGCAGCAATACGGGAGGAACAGCGGAGGCTGTAGGCTTTGCTTTGCGCACGGGGTGTTGAGCGCTGCGGGGCGGAGGATGTGGGATTTCGGGGTAACAGAAGAAGCGCCACAGTGACCTTGAGACACTGTCCTCAGACAACATGCAGTAATTTATAAATGTTTTAAATCAGGTTGGGTTTTAAATCCGGACCGCGGTCTGCTAATCCGTGACCTCTGCCTTATAGTGTCCCCACCAA